TGCTGGTGAGACTACACAGATATGTGCTTTCCCTGACCACAATTAATTTTTAAGCACCCATGAGAGAGATTCCTTTGTAAATATTTAGACAAAAACTTCCATCATGCAACACTTGTTAGATTTTACGAGGCTATCAGTATTAAATGAAGTAGCTATATATAGCTACCTTTTTATGCTCTAATATCTTGTCACCCACTATTACTTTTTCAAAGCTGAAATCTCTGAACAGCTGGGACAACAGATCTTCTGTTCCTGGAGCTGGGATTAGAGGATGAGAAATGCAATAGCTAAATGAGGAAAACGAATTCTCAAAGTCTACTGAATATTATTTATTTAGAGTTATGTCATTCTGACAGCCCAATTATTACAGTGAATACAATGCCATGCTGCAGCCTGTGTGATGATCCTGAGAAAGGTCATTTACAGCAACCTTCTGATCCACCAATCCAGCTAAGCTTCTATCTTACTGTCAGCATGACTGTAGTTGTGGGAGGTTTAAGTGACCCATAAATACTATAGTGCAGCTGTGGCTACTGGAAGAGTGGAATGCAAGACTTGATTTTGGGCTATTAAGTTATATATAACTAGAATAGTTAGGGTTGGAGAGGACCATAAGATCATTCAGTTCCAACCCCCTGCCATGGGCAGGGACGACTCACCCCAGACTATACTGCCCAAGGCTCTGTCCAACCTGGCCTTGAACACTGCATGTCCTTACTTTGTGTTAAAAAAACGAGGAAGAAAACAGTGCTCCATACTTACTGCTATGTATTTGGGACGGACGTCCTGAAAGTAGGTGGCCAAACCGTAAATAGCCAGAACAGCACTACAAAAATTAAACTTTCAGAGATCTGAAAATCTCAACAATCTAACTCAATCTGTATTCAATTACACAAGCGTCTTTACCGCAAGACCTCTAATGCCCGTTAAACCCCTACTGAAAGACGACTGAGACAGATTCAGCTCCATGCACCTCCGAACTTGGCAGGAGGAGTGGGCTGAGAGGGAAGGCACTGGGCCCACCGCTAAAGCAGGGGCCCCGCAAAGGGGCTCAGGACGCTGGTTCAACACAAAGCTTTTAAATACGCACGGAAATAGCGAGGTGGAGAAGGGGGGGAGTGTGGAGGGGGAGCGCCCAGCTGCCTCCGCACGCGAACGAGAACCGGACAGCAGCGAGGCGGCGCGGTCCAGGCCCGCAGAGCCCTCAGGGTCGGGTCTGGCGCCACGGCCTGCCCGGACCCTCCCCTCACGGCTGAGGAAGAGGCAACCCCGCGCCCGGAGACCCTGACCCTCCCCAGCCGCCCAGGGACTCACCCAGAAGATAAGGTTGAGGAAGACCAGGACGGTTTTGGAGGAGGTGATGCCGCACTGCCCCATGGCGCCTGCCGCCCCTCAGCCTCCAGCCGCGCAGCGCCGCTCCCCTCAGCTCCGCTCCGCCACCGGCCCCGCCCCACGTGACCCAGGCGAGCAGAGGCGGCGGCGCCGCAGCCAGCCTAAGATGGCGGCCGCTCGGGTCACGTGGCGGGAGGGGGCGGAGGAACCTAAGATGGCGACGCTCTCCCTCTTAAAGGAGCCGCCGCGGCGCTGAGGGGCGCGGTTGTGGGGCCTAGCGCGCCCTTGGGGTTCGCCTCAGGAAGCGGAGCCCTGGCTAATGGTAGCCCCGGTACACGTTCACCTTAGCTCGGGTGGACAGCGCTCCTCCTGCCCTCAGAGCTTCCCGAATCACGGCTGATCTGCTGCCCACAGAGGGTGTGAAGGTGTTGGGCTGTGAGGGGATCTCTGGTGTGCTGATGGGCCTTAAAGGAGAAAATGAACCTGTGTCATCTGTGCACCAGGCACGGCAGGCAGGGAGAGCGAGCGTGAGATGAGGGAACAACATGCACTTGACAATCAGGACATTTAGCAGGAACAAGGAACACTTCCAGTGATGTAAAAGCACATGGCTCTGGCTGCACAACCCAGCAAAGTAAGGAAAGTCCAAGCGCTGTTAATTGTTAGAATGCACCCAAAGAGGGTGGGATTTGCCAGCGCAGAGCAAAGGAAAAGTGACTGAAGAAATCACCAGAGGATGCACATGGCTTCCACAAGCTGTGCTTTGCAGAGGCTGCATGTGCGCTCCAGGAGCCAGGGCAAGGTAACACCCGTCCGGCATCCACTGCCCTGCTTATTCACCAGGTTCTGGTTAAGTGCAGCCAACAGCCAGCCCTTCACTGTGAAGGCCTCGGTTGCTGTCTTGCTGGTCAAACCAAACCCCTCCTCCCCGCTTCTCCTGGCCTCATGGTATCTTCCTTCTTGAGCTTGCTTTCGTTCCCCTTCTCTGTTCCTACAATACCCGTCCTTCCCGAGCTGCGCTGCCCTGCCTGGTTGTCACACCTGGTGAGCTCGCTCAGCAGCGTGTCCTTTCTGCTGTTCTAGCAGGTTGACATCTTGGGTGGAAATAACCCCGTGTTATTGAGGGTCTTGACATTTCAGGGATGAGTCGTGTGAAGGCAGACAAGTAACAATCACTTATATCCCCTGCTCTGTTTCCATGGTACCAACGTTTTTTTTCCCCCTCCTACAGTTTTGGAAATTATATCCAGACCCAGTTCCTCGATACCATGGAGATACTAAGTCTTTTTTTTCAGCTTTCAAGGCCTTATATGCTCATGGATAAAACTTCCCAATCTTCCCAGTGTTATCAGGCCATTTTCTGTCACGAAAATGGACTTACGGACCCAGAAGATATTCTCAAAGTTGTCTGCACTATTAATGTTCTGCACTCAATATGTGGCATTTAGAGCCTTGTAATTTCTGCTTTCTGATGTGCTCTTTGTGCCTTACGTATTACAATTCCGTGACATACGGTATTTTAAGTGTATATAGATTATGCTATCAAAAATGCCACTATGAGTTGATAGAAAAAAAAGGCTTTCTAAAAGGAGTTTGATAGAAAAAAGGATTAATAATGATATTTAAAAGCTCTTAGATTTTTGTACGACAATGCTGTTGTGCAATTTCAGTGTTGAATTTGGCAAACCTAGCAGCCTGCTCTGATTTTCTATAGGAATTTTCTCTACTTTCACAACACTGTATGTATTTTGTTACAGATTCATAGGAATGGGTGTTCACTAAACAGTCTTTGGTTTCTTTTTTGTACCTAGCTTTGATAACTGAGAATGATGAAAAGGGTGCAATAAAAGGCTAGGACTTTATGCTTGGAGAGGAGAAAAGTGCTGTTACGCATGGCCTGGGATGGGGTTGGAGCTTTATACATGTGGGACCAACAGGGGTTCATGGGGAGGATGGCAAAGGTGTCGGGGAGAGAGGAGGAATGGGGAGACTGCAGCCAGTCCTTTGAATGGGCAGAGGGATTGTGTGGTCTAGGCTCCCATGACAGTAACATCAAGCACCAAGGAAAAGATAATGCCAAGTGTTCATCTCAGCATGGCTCCTGGAGAAAAGCAAATATAACAGTGCTTGGCATTCTTCTTTGCGGTGCTGTCTTGCTGCTCTCATGCACAGAAAGCTGGCTGATGCTGGGTGCCAGTGTGGGGTCTTTGTCGGGGTTTTTGTCAGGTTTTTGTGCAGAGGGATACTCTTGGGTCTTTGGGGAACACATGCAGAAGTTTTGGGTATTATCAGTCCCTGTAACTTCAAATCCACACTCTCTCTGGAATAAGGTGTTAGCCTGTGCTGTCATCTCGTACCATGCATGGCATGCCAGTCAGAAACTGTCCCTCCTCCCTTATGGGAACACAGGCAGGAAATTCTAGCTCTCTGCCTGCACAGGTAGAGGAGGAGGGATGGCTTGCTGAACTGAGGATAGGCAGTGCAGTTCCCAGGAGAGCGGTGAGCAAGGCATGCTAGAAGCAGGTTGTAACAAGTAGTTTGAAAACTGGCTGCAGTTTCAATAGCTGGCTTGGCTGAATTGGACTGAACTGTCTCCAGCAAAGCTTTGCTGCTTAGATCTTCCCCGCCTTGCTTGATGTGGACAGGTAGCTTGGCTGCTGAGATGTGCTTTTGTCTTTAATACAGTTTAAGCCTCTTTGAAATTCTTCAAAGAGTGTTTATCCCACATTTCACAACATTTAGCTTGTGACTATCATCATAGCAGTATCTTCAGAAATGTGTACCAGAAATGTAGACAAGGATATCGTGCACTTCCACTTCTTATGAGACAGCGAGAAGATCAGAACACTAAGGACAGGTGTGGGGCAAGAGAGGCCCAAAGTTCTCAAATACAGAATGCAAGTGTGTTAGCAAGATACTGACTGCACCATTTGTGGACTCAGAGGCATCTTTAGTAATTATGTAAGACACCACCATGGCACAGACTGCACTGAATGGCTGGTTAAGGTAAGTGGCTTGAGAAGTTCTGCAGACTTGGAAGTGCGGAGGCAAGTGTGCCAGCAGATACACTTGTAATGTAGTTTGCCCTTCAGTTTAATTATGCCTGATTCAACTCTCCGTTTGTTATATAAACACTGGGAATTAAATTCTGTGGGCACAGCGCACTTTGTATTGATGCATTTGAGTCTAGGCTGTTGCAAATGACTTATCTAGGCAGGCCTGTAGACAGACAATAGCTCAGCAGTGATAATTTCCATTTGCAAGCATGCATTGGAAAAGTAAAATTGCTTGCTCTTGAGACAAACAATAGTAAATGTAATAGAAATGAGTTAACTCCATTTGAATGGATCAGGAACCTCCAGCTTTTCAACAGCTCCTGAGTAGGTAATCATAAGCTTCTTTGAAATGTAATAGACTGGAAAGGTCCGTGAACATTGAAGGATGTATAGTAAAGTGACCTGACAAACATTTTTCTAATCAATCTTTTCATTCATCGTTTGGAAGTACAGTTAGCTAATGAGAGCCTGCATCTGACAGGGTATTGTAAACCCGATTATTAGTGATGATCAGGTGATGATCAAATGTTGGAAGCAAGGTCCTTTTTATTGCTGTAGAAGGCATATAGAAGGAACCAGGAGCACCATTCGAGACTGAGTGGAAAAAGAAGGTTGAGATTACCTTATTTTCTTTATATCAGCTATCATTTGACTTGGCCTACATAAAATATAATTTTCAATAATAAAAACATGCACACATATATATGCATCATTTAAATATAATTTTAATGAACTAATTGTGTAATAATACATTCTTGCTCACTGGATGACATGCAGAATGTTTGTATGCTCTAAGATGGTGTATCCTAACATGCATTTGATAACAGGCATTGGGGTGTCATGGTAAGTGCTGGCATGCTGGAGGGAGACCTTTCAGATTTGAGAAGCACTACAGTTTGAAGCTAAAAGCCTGATGTGAGAATCTGAAAGATTCTGCATACAGATGTAATGGAGTAGTATAGTCAAAAAGCAAGATATGAAAAAAATCCAATTAAAAACATGTCACTGCTATTGACAGCTTCCCCAGAGGCACGCTAACTTTGTTTATATTAAGAAGTAGGTGCAGGTTGTCTGCAAAGTCTTTTCTAATGCTGGAGAGCAACTGAATCTATGCAGTTGATCCATTTCATGCTGTGTGGAAAAGGGAGAAATCACAGCACCGTCCCTTCTGTTCTTTGGAGTCTTCAACACCAAACTACAAATAGCACTTTCTCCCTCCACACTCCCCCAACATTACATCTTCTGTGTGAGCTCTCTTCCAGCTCCAGTTGACTCATTTTTCAGGATCTATATCCTGGAAAATGGCTTCAGTGTGACATGACTTGTCCTTTGGCAGCAGAGCCTGCTAACAAAGCCCTTCTGTCTCCACACCTGCGGGCGTGTGCTCCTGTCCCCGCACTGCCCCACTCCCTTTCCAGTTGGGCCAGGGCACCTATTTGAAGAGAGGGTAGGGTGATGCTTTTTTACTCACAAAGAGCTGGGTGCTGCTGCAGTGACTGGGGGATGGGGACTTCTTAAATCAGAACTGCTGCAAAGGAAAGGTTTGTGAAATCTCAGAGCACAGTTTGGTGGGATTTCCCTCTCTGCAGCACTGTCAGCTTCAGCAGCCTTCTGCTAGCTTCTCCCTAACCCTTCTTCCCGTGGCAGTAACAAAGTTACCAGTATAAGTATTTGAGTAACCATGGCGACCAAGAGGCAGGAGCAGATTATGGTAAAAAAAAGAAAAACAACTCGAGAAAAAAAGGTTGTATTTTTACCCTGGATTTTTCCCCAGTCTGTTCACTGAACGTTCCCCAAGAGAATGTGCAACAGCCCACCCATCGGGGCCATGCATAGGTAGAAATGAACAGTGGGCAAGCACAAATGCTTCTCAGACTTCACTTTCTTTCAAGAACCTGGAATGCGTTTCATGTTACCTGATATTCAGTTTCTGTCTAGTCTTGACTGGCAGTGTAGGCTGCCTCCCCACATTGCTTCTGTAATCAGTGGAAAATGAATGGATGGTTCATCCCATCCTAAAGAATGTATTTGGGATTAAATGGATCACATCCTTAAGGGATACCTTTCAATCCACTGAGCATAGAGGACCCTGAATGAGCAGTTTAGGTGTTTGGCCAGATGAGCTCTCCTGAATCTAAACCATTATTGTTCCCTGCAACTCTCAGCCAAAGGTGTGCATGATTTCTTACAGATTTCCAGTGCACTTACTGCTATTAACTAAACCCACATCACTCAAGAATGATGAAAGACATACAGTCTGTCAAATCATTTCCACTTGTATGAATTTAATATGCTGTAAACAGATACCATATAAACCATCATCATGTGCTGTTCGATTCTGGTTCAAAATTCAGCTGTTAAGGTCATCTTCTGTAAGCTTTTGTGCCGTTTGTACTGTGCCATGTCTGTTCCTTGCACATATTCTGTATTGCCTTTTCTCTTTTACAGCCTTCACTTCAATCCAACTCATGACTCTCTCACCCTGGCTATTTAAGTTTTTTACCTACTAAGAAAGTGTTTCCCAAAGAAAACAGAAGGTTATAAAGCTGGTGTAAAGGTAAGACAGTGAGTCAGTGACAGGCAGGATAAATAGGCTTCCTTACACTTTGGCCTGTAGAAGCACTGCATGGGCACATCATCCAACATGCATGTCCCTGTGTCCCCATTACACGATGGGTATGATGACTTCCTTTTGGTTATGTACACCCCAGGGGCATGGCTCGGGGAACAGAGGGAATTTGGGCATCTCTGTAAGGTGCTGTGCAGCCTCCCTGCCTCAGACAGTAGGTACTGTTGTCAGAGTTCATTGTAGAGTCTGCAGTGAAGTGCTTTTGAAAAAGATATTAAAATATGTCATTCTCATAAATGGTATTTCTCTATCTTTGGAAAACTGATAAATCTTAAACCCTACACCCAACCCCCCTAAAACCCCCAAGCTCTAGGCACAAACTAGTTAGCAGGGCTGCCTTTACTGCTGCAAAACAGCATTACCAAACTGTTCTCTTGGTGCCATCTGTAGCCATTGTGGGCTGCTCTAAGATCTAGCATCTGTGTTTGCACACACACCATTTAACAACAATCTTTGCAGTTTACTAATGGTTAATCCTATTATACTGAGAGGAAAGAGGGTATTGCCGTTAAAGCACATACTCCATGCATGAAGAACCTTGCCTGGATTCACTTCTTGGTACTGGGAAATTCATGTAACCTCATTTTCTGATTTCTGCATGATTTCTCAAGGCTTTTGGTGTACCTCACAGGTATGTTTTGAGTCTTTAGTTGACACCTAGGAGGTCTGGAGTTTCTGGAAAGCAGGACTGCTGTACCTGTTGAGCACCCTCCCTTGGGTATTCTGCCTATCCCACTTGGAGTGATCAGGGTGATACCTTTATGGTTATCATCGACTAGCTTGGAGTAGATCCTCAACATAATCCTGCCAGGTGTTAAATGCCATGACATAGCTCCAGAGCTGTGTTTAAACACATCCCTATATTCAGCTGTGGTTCCAGTAGAGTAATCTGTAAAACCACACTTGGTACTTTCCACATGAGTATGGATAATTAAAGGGAAAGTAACTCCTTCTTTTGTATTTATAAAACCAATGTTCACTTCTGTACTCTGTAAACGTCCCTTTTTCCATCTAAATTTTGGTGTTTCCCAGCTGATGGGACTTAGTCCTCCCTCTTCAACTGTTCCAAGGAAAATTAAACATCTTCCTTATCAGTTACAGGTAGCTGAGTTGCAGTCTGAAATCATCCCTCTGTATAATTCTAGCAAGCCAAGTGTGGCTCAGTGTCCTGAAGTAGGAACAAAACAAACTGGTATCGAGCAGGTGAATCCAGCTAGAAAAAAAACAGAAAAAGTTAAGCTTAATGTAGTGTCCTCATTATTGACTTAGCACCTCTGTGTAGGCCAGTTTTTCAGGGGAATACTTTATGTCACCCAATATTATGTGTGTTTTAGTGCTCACTTAATGACAATGTAATATTTCAAGCAAAATACAACTTCTGTAATGAGATACCTCATTTCTGCCAGGATGTTATTAGGATAGCTGCTACAGTGATCTAATGAGATTGACCTTCATTTCATAACAAATTGCTCTCCTCCTGAAACTATTTTTAATGGCCTTCTTGATTTATGCAAAAGGACCTATAGTGATAGCCTTCATTTGGGGAAATAAATGATTCAGATCATTCCAAATTTGATGAAAAGGGCGAGTGAAAGTGCTACTATATTTTTACCATGTCACTCATCGGTTGAGTGCAGCATTGTGAAGGTCCCCTGCGGCTTTGTTCTCGCTGCCTCCCTGCAAGGAACCAAATAAATGAGCTTATTTCATTCAGGGTAGAAGATAAAACCCCATATAATTGCCAGCACTGGGGCCGCTGGAGCAGCTCTCAGGCTGTCACCTCGAGGTGCTCCAGCTCCCTGGAGTGCTGTTTGCTGCCATCTACCGGACATTGCCAACGTTCCAAGGGGACCGTCAAATCGGTGCTCCAAGACATTTGCTGTCCTGATAGTCAAAGCCGTGGTGCTCGTGACTTCTAAAGCACATTTTAATGAGGTGAATCCTTTTTAAAGGGTGACAGAGGAGAAAAAGAGGAATCCATATTCTGAATATTTCTGCTGAGTGTCTTACAAGTATTGCTTAGTTGAAGCAGGGTGGTTATAGCAATTCAGAGGGAAGATGAGTAGGAGATGGTTACAATTGGCATTATATTAATAATAGATAAGGATGCTTTGCTATGCTGTAGTTATTTTAATCTGAAAAGCCTACTACCTTATTAGTATTTAGTCCTCACCATGGTACCAGTTTATTACATGGTACCAGTTTTATGGATGATGTCACTTACCCACTGTGAGGCAGAAGATTTGCAGGCTTTGCATATGCCTTTCCCATTGCAGAAAAAATACATGGTTTAAAAATTACATGACAAAATGTTTTCTTAGTGCACCTTATGCATTTGTCTCATGCTTTCTGCAGACCTGGCTGCAAATATCATGCTTGTAAATTCCTCTTCAAAAATCCCAACCGTAAGACTGTTTGCTCAACCAAAACATGATTTGAGATGGAAAGAGTAAGATGCAAATTAAACTTTAAAGGAAAGGCTTCACAAAAATAACAAAGGCCATACGTGTTCCCACATTAAGATAAAGAACGTTCAAGTCTGTATGTACAGCACCATCTGGTGACTTATGCACAGCAGGATCCCAAAGCAGGGATTTATGTACCTTGCCACAGCAAGTCAGTTGATATCCCCCAGCAGACCTGCTCCTTATGTTCTTACAACTTCTTCAGAAACACAGAAATATGCCTTCATTCCTGTTTTCCAGGCTTTGGCTGTTGTCATCATTATTTGTGCAGAGGAGCAGGAGGATTTGTTGCTGCTTATGGCCTCCTCCTCAAGTCTTACTATGTAGTCATGCTTTCCTTTTATCTGGGAAGGGCTCCACAGGCAAAGTCCCAGTCTTGGTAGCCGTCAGCAAGCACACAGATCATTATCTGGCACCTTGCCTTTCTTGGCTGCCCGTCTTCCTGCCTGGCTGAGACAGCAATTCATCCTGTGCCTTTCACTGCTGCTGCCCACTGCTCCGGTCTGTCCCCTGTGCCGCAGCTGTTGCACATAATGTCACATTCACTGTGCTACAGGACAAACACAGGAGAAGTCTGTCTGGATGGGCACTTTGCTGTAGGTGTGCATGGTGTAGGGCAGTGGTTGTTGGTTTGCTTCCACAGAGCCAATGGACTGGATTATCCATTTGTAAGCATCATCCTTGGGTGCCTTAACTATTTGTGGATACATGGACTTTGAGCAACCTTGTCACAGGAACAGACTCCAAGAGGTTTTAGTTTTCCTGTAAGCAAAGAGCAGGTAAAAAGATTCAGAGCTTAATTCTCCAGTGTGTTACACCATAGTATCATTGATTGCAGTACAGTTCTATTTCATCTTAAACCCAAGGTAATTGACTGGAACATCATGTTTTTAACTCATAAATCCTGTATATCCCACACATCTCAGGCAATTACCTCAGCAGCTGTGGATCTCTGAATCACTTACATGAGTCTCCTTACCACTGAAGAAAATAGATCTTTGTTTCAGTAGAACAGCCCATGGGCTTAGCAGAAACATCCTGTGTCTGTGTCTCGATACAGCATATGAAGTTCTTCCTCCAGCAGTAGTCACACAAATGCTTCAGGAATGAAATGCTGTCACTGAGGCTCATTTAATTTGTTTCATGTAGCAGTTTTCTTAATTCTTTAGAGAACAGTGTCTTTTAATTTGGCACAGTGCACTGAGCTGGTTACAAAATCAGTCAATATTGAAGATGAGAAAGAGTTGAGAGTCAGCATCTTATCTGATGACCTGTTCTGCTGTAGCAGTAAGGGAGGGATGAGGATCAGAGCTCACTCATTTGCCTGCGAAGCTGCATCGTATAAAATCTTCCTCCCACAGTGTCCAAAGTCCTTTGCTTTCTGATGAAGCAACCTGGCTTGACATATGTCAACTTGCATGGCTGTGAAGCCTGCAAGGAGGCTGTGAGGATATTTTGGAAGGGTAGAGAACTTGCTGAATGTTAAAATATAGCTTTATGCTAAGATTTAATGCAGAAAGGGGTGAACCACATTGTAAACACCAAAGTCAGTAGCTGTGTTAACCATTGATGAAATCTATATTTCATTATTTGAAAACTCATGTTTTCACTTTCATTTTTTATTGGCTTAGTCCCTTGGGAACTTCTCTGTAGTGAAAGACACAGAGTACATTAGTGTAGGCTTTTGAAATACGTTATGTATAAGCAATAGGGAGAACGTGCCATGCTACTGTTATTGGTTAATTTTGCTAAAAAAATAATTAAACCCAGTGAAGACAGAGGCAAAAGATCAAATTTAGAGATTCCCAACTGTAATAAAACAGCCCCTTTGAAATATACTTACAAGGACAGTCCTGAGCACGCTGGATTTGCCCAATAAATCTTTGTTCTCTTTTTCTCTTGTTGACAGCTGGAGTCCTAATGTTCCCAATAACCTGAGTGGTACAAAGGGACAGGAATCCTGTTCTTCTTTTCTTGAGGGTGACAAGCATCTGCTTTTATCCACACCTTATGGAAAGTGGCAGGTCAGTGTTGAGAACAGATGCAGTTTAGTGACCCTGTAAGGAAGGCAGTGCCAGCCTATCTGGTCAGGTTGCATTTCTTACCTTTTTCCATTCTATCCCAATTCAGAACACTGGGACAATGCAATACTGACATGGAGCATGTGAAGCCTTCTGTTCACAGCAAGCATCCTGCTTGTTGCAGATCCTTTGCTCACCTCACTTTGTGTGATATAGCTGCTGAGGCAACTGGCTGCAGGATGGCCAGACACTGAACTTGGAGCTGTGGGTCCCACTGTTGGATCACTTTACTGGGATCTGCTGCCTTTTTCTTAAGAGCTTGTAATTTCTGAGGTTTTATAGTTAAATCACTAAACCACCCAGGGGTTCCTATGCTCATGGCCATGCTGTTTTACCATCTGACATATTCAGCTCATGTTACAGCTGCTACATTCATATCTTTCATCTGCGTGCCATGAACAGGGTTCTGAGACGGCTTGGATCAGCATAGCTCTGTGGTCTTCAGCAGAGCTACCTTAATTTACATTCAGACCTCCCCGCACAAAGATGCACCTCTGTGAAATGCCCATCTCCATCCAGAATGGAGCCTCCTTGCGCATGCAAGCTGCCATGCCAGAGGTCTGCCACATGCAGGGCGATTCTCTGAGGCTGCAGTCCAGTGAGTTGCACACTGAACTTGGGCCTTTGTCCTGATTAATTGCAATTCATTTCTCAAATCATCAGGAAAAGTCAATCTTTGATGTAAAACACAGCTGCATTTACCACAAGGGAGGCCTGTGCCAGACATGTAAAGCATTCCAGAGCCCAGCCACGCACTGCTTGGGTAAGGACTGTGGCTGGTTTGTGTTTCAGAAGGTTATGCACAGTTCTGGCCTTTATTCTTTAAGTGACCTATTTGAGTGGAGAGACCTGTTCTGTAGAAGGGCAGCTGTTTTGAACTTACGATGTTTTGGAGAGAGGAGGAAATGCAGTGAAGGATAGAATTAGGTCACAACTTCAGGATGCCAAGATTTTTCTCTTGATTTGGTTGCTTTTGTAAAGCAGGCTCTCGCATTTAACCGCACTGGAAGGAATAATCTTTTCTCTGCAATCACTGTACAAAGGAAATTGATTGAAATCATAAAAAAATTAATTTTCTACATTTCTATGTGACAGTATGGCAATAAAGACAAGCCCATCTCAGCTATGTAATTAGCATTTATGATCGGGGGATAATAAACAATCAATCGAAGTCAGTTAAAGCAGTTCTCCAAAGCAGTTTAGAATCTCACTAAAATGACTGAAACACAGTGCAGCACAAACACTTCTGTGCTGAAATCAGGTTCAGGGCAGGAACAGCAATGGGATTGTTGATGATTAGTAGGATCAGAAGCAGGATTTGAAAGACCCACTTTTAAAACTGAGGTGCTCAGTGCAGTCCAGACAATGTCCTGAGCCCACTGATCGCTCCCTCTAAAGAGCAAGCTTGAAATCTTCATTCCCTGTGCTATTTAAAACTAATAAATGCATCTAAATTAGAAACCAGTGAAGTGTTTTCATGTCAGACCCCTCATTAAGGCATTTTAGGAAGCACAGAAAGATAAAATGATTTAAAAGCAATCTTAGTAACTGGATGACTGTGTTAAATTTGTCTGCATTCAGACTGTGGCATGCAGCTTTGTGTGCAGGGACTGAGTGCAGCCACATCCCTAATTCTCTGTCATAGCTGTCCTGTCCACATGTGTGTGTGGGAGGGTGTGGGGGAAATCTCGCCTATATTGTGTGAAATGAGAAATTAGCAGTGACCTTCAGGCTAATACTCAGATAGAATCTTTTGAGATTGCATTATAGCTCCTTTCGCTACTGCTGCAGATTTTGAGCACTTATCTAGCTCTATCCATGATCAGGCTCACTTCCCATATGCAGTTAAAACAAGCTGGTTTTCGTACCTTTTCATGGGATAACATAAATTCACAGCCATACCACTGTCTTCTTTTGGCAGTTTGGAGAGCTAGGAAGTACTGCAATGAAATGTTTCTAATTTAATTCAATCCCTCATTAATTTGTTCTCTCCCTTAATTCAATGTCAGCCTCGGGACCCAAATCATTTGTATTAAAAATAACATAATGGCCATCTTTTCTTTTAATCAATGTTGACTGCTTTAGGCAGGTATTAGCAGATAATCTGATTACAAACTACACAGTGTGTTGGCATTTAGTTAATAACTATCAGGGAAAATTTGGAAAAGAATCAAAGGAGAAAAAAATAAAAATACAAAGAGGGAAAAGAGAAAAGAAGAGAAGAGAGCCTTACAAAGACACATAATGTTAAAGACGTTATCATGGAAAAGTCTTTTCTGCTAGTGGCTGTTATTGGTACAAGCTTCCAAGATGCACAGCCAGTGGCGTCAGCCATGGGCGACAGGCTCAGCCCAGTGGGGAGTATTTGACAGAACTCCAAAAAGAATGAGGTCTATGGTAAATCTACCATCATTTCCTCTTAGACTTATTTAAACTTACTAATGGGATTTATAGGTTAGATACTTAGTGGTATAAGCTGGCATAGCTCCACTTAACTCTGGCTGCATCATCTGCAACCTTCTCTGGGCTGGCAAGAAAACTGATGTGCAGCTAAATCCAGGTTGTACATAAAGCAATGTGGAGCAGCTCTGCAACTGCTTCATACTGGCTTGTGGGGAAGTCCCTAGTCAGGCTCACTGGCCAGTTCTCTAATCATCCCCAGCTGCCTTATGTCACAAGGACCCAGTTCTCAGGAGACTGAGAGCTGCCAGGTCTGGCAGTGCTCAAGAGGCTGACAGGGACTTACTTTGAGGGGGCTGTGCGGCATCTCTCATTTTCTTACAAATACCATCTTGGGAATGCATCTGAAGTAGGTAGTTTGTTGTCTGCTATCTCTTCTTGGCAAGTTTGCAATACTGCTGTAATAACAGCCCTTCTGGTCAGCCAGGAGCTCCAGAGGAGGCTGGGACTGGTTAGTTTTCACCTGCCTCCCCTGAGGCTGCGCCTGATGCTCCAGAGATCAGTCTAAATGGAGCCTGTGCTCTGCTGCTCAGCAGATGGCATTTTTCCAGTACATCAGTATTGGAGCGATACCCAGCACAGTGTGAGGGATCCCAAGCTGTTAAAGAATCTGCCTTTTGACTAAAGCAGAAGAAAATAGCCTTGACAGTTTGCTGTTTTGCAAGTTACCAATAACAAAAAGAAGGTTTACAGTGTCCTGACATGTTCTAATATGCCATTACTCTCTGCCTAAATTCCCAGCGCTCACTGAAGCTCCATTCAGTATATTTTACACTGATAATGGTGATGAAAGGTATCATACACCATCTAAGAAGGGACCAGCTCCTCTGGGAGTAATATGAACGCTATGTGCTAATCACACAAGGGCCTTTGAAGCTTTCGGTAGAGACTGCTTGAAGTCATCAGCATAATAATGTAGTGGATTTGGGACTTAAGAACCCCACAGGCTGATAGCACATTTCTGACAGTGTGCCAAGGCAGCTGACCTCTGGATTCCTATTCATATTCATGAGGATCTTTCCCCATGACCTTCTCATAAGAAAGGCTGCTCAGCAATGCCCAGGAATAGGGCTGGGCTGAGTGGGAGAGGTGCTCCAAGGCAAAGTTGTTCCTGCAAAACAGAGGCATTGACAGCACACCTGGAGACAGAAGAGGATGGTGAATTGGCAGAGGACCATAGTCTCCATCTATATGTATACTGGAGCTGAAATGGATTTCAGAGCAGCTTGATCTACTACTCCAGTGGTGTAGCTTTGAATTCCTTTGTTCTTAGAAGCTGCATATTTTTGTTGCTTTCTTATATGAGCAACTATTATTAACATTGACAAAACGAATGTAGAATTCTATAAAAATCATTCTGTGATGGATTTAATTGATGAAGCTTCCCAAGTCATACTGGACAGTTGTGAGTCAGTGGTCAATAGCATGTAAGTAGAAATACTGTTGAATAAGCCCTTGATTCTTGGATACTTTTTCCCTCAAATGGGAAATGTCCTTGAACACGTTCCTTTGCCATGCTCTCCTTAAGTTCCTGAGTCTGTGACACCGGAATTATGTCCTCCTTGTAAAGTGCTTAGGATCAGCACAAAACTCACACTGTATTTTACTTTTGGTGAGTGGTGAAATAGAAAACCCTTTTAACCCTAAAAATTCTATAGAAAGTAGAAATCTGTTTGAGAAGACCCAAAATTGTGCCCAAGAACTCATGTTAGTTGAGTGTTTCTGATTGCTGATTTACAGGAAGAAGTGATTAATCACCAAGTGAAATCTGTTCTAGATTAGCATAAATTGCAGGAGGTTGGAAAAGACTCCAGATGGATTTGAATTATTTGAAAAAGCAAGCAGAACCGGCAAAGGAAATGTTGAATTGGATGAACACAGACTGCTTCCTAATAAAAAAATAAACTAAAGAGTCTAATCTGAACATCCATAATTTTCCAAAGTCAAAGCTCTAGGAATGGAGATGTCTGCCCAGGACAAGAAAATAGGGTTCTGATGGGCTGGAGATACTTCATCTGTTCTGGCATGTCAATGGGATATTGATGCCCTCAGTCCCTCAGTTTAAGCTGTATCACCTCAAAAACACACAAAAAGAAAAGTCTCATGGCAGTGAAGAGTGGGACTGTGTTCTGCAGTTTACATGGAAGGAGAAGTTGAAGCCTCCAGGGAGATGATGCTTCATGCCACAGGGCAGTGATGTGAGTGGTTCATAGCTGCAAAAGGGTCAATGGCACTTGGGGTTTCATGAAGCAATAGATGCTATTAAAACATTTATATTTGCCATGTTGTATCCCACAGCATCACCTGACGTTCTGCTGCTCCTTCTTGTTTGAAGCTGTGTGTGGTCACAGTGTTAGCAGTAACTCCCATACATACACAAATATGTAAGCTGGGGGATTGACGTGACAAAGCATAAACCTTTTTTCCATTAATATAAATGGTAAAAGTTCAGAAGGAGACTTTTTTCCTTGGACAACAGAAGTTGTATGAGTAGCTAGCAGGTTATGGGATGTTCCTTTTCTTTTGCTGGTTGGGGTAGTGGCTGTAAATGGGCAGATTACCAGCTCATTTCCAACAGTAACTTGATTTGAATTTAGTGCCCCCATAGGAACCAGGAGAATTTTATTATCTTGATTTAATTCTCAGTTTTCTTTAGAAGAACATCTATATTCTTTGCACTTTAGAGAGGTGCAAAGTTAATAGCTTGCTTCTTACAGATAAACTGCAGGGATTTCATGGTTTTTAAGGTTAATCTTTGCTTTCACTGCAGTTAATCTAGGCCATTAAGACTTCAGTGAAATCAGGCAAACCCTAGCGTCTGGCGTTAGATCTGTAACTGCCCCCTGGCCTGCTGCACCCAGATGCTGTCCCTGGGCTTGCTCTGTCTCTAAATGGCAGCAGGGTGCTGCGCAGGTGGTATGGACTCTCCTCCACCCCAGAGTGGCCAGCCAGGTACTTTGCCTGATATCAATGACACAACACATGCCAGCACCTCTAAACCACCATGCAACAGCTTGAGAAAGCAGCTTTCTATGTGTTTGTTGAACATGGGCTATTGGCTGATACCCAGAAAGAACTAAAAGCCTCCCCATTCCCATTCCTTCCCCTTTTGGAGTATAAGCTGTGATAGTTTTGTGGCTTTACCTTAAGTGACAGTCAGTTACTTCCAGCGTCTGCTTCTGTACATGTCCTGACTCTGCCAGCTGCAATGTGACAAAAATAACACCTTAATGACAGCAAAACAAGGGGATGAGAGCAGGAGATGCTAACAGAAAATGCACATGCGATAGCTGTGATTTTAAGTTCTCTGACTTGATGCATGCAGATCTGCTTCACGGTCTCCAAGCTGATTTCCCAGCGGCTCCCCCAGTGTCTGTTTGCCAGACAATGACTTCTGCGCTCATTTGAAAGCACCGAAATGATAGCAAGAAGCCTGCCTCCATCTTCCAGGTGGATGGGCTCAGCACCAGGCTCTAAAGTTGCCTCCTGCAGTAGCAGCAGCGGCACCAAGTGAAGTGCAGTAGGTCTGAAGACCCAACGTGGAATTTTAATGTGCATCTTTCTTCACAGACCTAAGAGTCTTAGCTCAGAATTGAAAGGAAACCACAGCCTTTCTCTGCAGGATAGATTGTGGCAAATGTTTGACTTGTGAGCTGGCTGCTTCTATCTGATTCTGGTTAAAACCACTGCTGGGTAAGGAGTGATTCATATATGGCAGCACGGAAGCTCATTAACTTGGGTGAAAAGATCAGCCTGCAGAGCTCAAGTGATGCATGGAGATTTTCTAGAGAATAAAGGTTCCTCATGCAGAAGAACATAGATCCTGAGGGCCTGTCTACCATAAGGTGAATTTCTGAGGTGGTGAAAAACCTGATACAGGCATTGTTGTATCAGCCGAAACCAGGCATCTGTTGGCTTCACTGGCATCCGCTTCTGGCACAAGCTGAAACGAGAATGCCGGTCTGTGAGTGCTTAAGGACACCCACAAGAGGCTTTGCACTGACATAACGAAATTAATTTCAAACAGATTTTATTTAAACTAGTACAATTATGATGTCTCGACAAGGTTTCAGTCTATGTTTGCGTATCCCTTCCCTCCAGAGCGGTGATTGCCACTGACAAATGGCATAATCTGACTGTTGAGCTAAGTCCATGGCACTTTGTTGAAGTGAACAGGGATTACTCTGGCAAAGCCAAATTATCTGTCAGGCTGCTAAATGTATTGCACATTTAGTGACATTTCTGGAGCCAGTTAGCTTTGTGTTCTTAAAAAAGATGAGGACAATAGCTTAAACTGGTTTTGAAAGGCTTTGGAGCAATGTCTATGGGATAAATGTGAAAAGCCTGTGGTAGTTAACACTCTCTCTAGACTAATTCTCATCGTATTAATTGATGACATACCTGTGCAAATCCACTGTAGCTGTGGGGAGAATAGTGCCCTTAGGATGCTGGGTTTTGTTTTGGGGTCTTTTAAGTGTATTTGTGAGCAGTGCGATTGTCGTGCAGAAGCACAGCACTGCTCTGATGGAAATGGTGTCATCTGTTCTATGCTAATAAATCAGCATCTGCAGCCACCACTGCTGCCTATTAAATCTGAGTACAAAATTGAGCTGTTTGATCTCACTGCCACTGAAGTGTGTCTGCATGATCATGGAAGATGCATATTATCCCATCTGTTTTTCACAACTCCTCCATCAGGTTGTATGCTTCAAGGTAACAGATCAGACACAATGAATTTCTCTGCAGACGACTGCCTTAGAGGCATCCTGCTTTGTCACAGCATATAAAAATTTGATTTAAGAGTCATTTTATTCCTTCACAGCAGGTCATTTAAGCCCTGTCCACACTAGGGAAACTGCTAACTTTGGCTCAGCTCCTTTAGTGATAATGGCTGCCCCAGTGTGGACATTTGACTGTCTCTGTTTTCATTAATGTGTCACTTCTCTCCAAGAAGGCCTTACAAGACTCTGGTTCAATCAACAGCAGCTGCTGGTGGCCACCTTATTTTCGGGCTGCTGCTGCCACTTGTCCAGATGGAGCCAAAAAAGTGTCAGCCACGGTGAGGCTTCGGGAGAAAACACCAGATATGGGAGGTGCTGCAATGGCCCAGCCACTGGCAATCCCTGCAGCTGGGATGCCTGGCCACTGTGGTGGCAAGGCAGGAGATGCTGAGCATCAGTCTTGTCAACCAAAGGCTGGATCTGCCCCACTGCAAACCAGCCAGCTATTCTTGTGCTGTATTCATCTTTTGCTGAACCTGCCACATGCATTTTCCTCAGAAACACATATTTTTGTCTAATTCCCTAGGAAGAGAGAAAAATGAGACAACTGCAGGTTTGATTTTGAGTGTAATAAAACTAGTTTATTTACACAGTAACATGAATGCCACAGAGTACACAGCAAAGTACCACAGCAAACCAGAGTGTAACTGCCCCTGATCACAAAGGAAGGCTTGAAGTTTATATACTTATATAAAAATGTGTAAATATCGATATGAAGCACCAGATAAAAGCAATGCAACCAGGAATTCCAAATACAAATTACCCACAAGAATGGAGTCGAAATGGAAAAAAAACAACAAACCCAAACAAATCCCTTACTGAAAGGATTCAAGAAATCCCATTTAGAAAAGTCCATCGCTTTTTGAATCCCAAATGGAAAAATAAGTTTTCCCCTTTGATTAAAAACAAGCACATGTTCTTCAATGCTCAGCATAATCAAGTGTTCAAAGAAAAAAAACCCAAGAATTTCAACTGCAAAACCTTCTAATACCAACAAGCCAAAGGACAAAGAAACAGAAGTTTCGAGTCATTTTGGAGGAGGTGTTATGATGAAATGACCATATTCAAATTTACACACTCTTAAATATATATTATATATACAATATATAATATATATATTTTCAAGCAAAAGGGGCAAAGACTGCTTTTGGGATACAAAAATTCATATACATACATATATATATTAAAACATGCCCACACGCACAAAGATATATATATGTATATATATGAACAAATATTTCCTCCATATAAAAAATGTTCCAACCTCTTCTAAATCCCTGAAATCTTCCCCTTGGATTAATGGAAAAAAAAATAATCTTTCTAGTCTGAAGTACAAACCAAATTTCAAATTCTGTCGAGTGGTGAAATGCTTACGTACAGGGAAGTGGAGTATTTCATTTCTCACTGGCAACTCTGCTTGATCTGAAAGCATTCTGTGGTTTCCAACTAAATGCTGAGTGGAGCACCAGTGCAAGGAGACTTACAGGAAAGCAGCTGAGTTACATTCTACACCTATTCAAAATCTCCATCCTTCTAATACTGCATCCAGGTGAATAAGACAAGCCATACAGGTATCTACTAGAAATCCTCTGCCACAGAGCAGTGGGAAAGACTCGTTCCTCCTGTTGGAGCTGAGGGTGCCCTAAAGAAAGTTCTCCCCAGTATTTCTTTTGAAGAATATTTTTGGTGTATTCCTCCCTTGAAGTGTTTGGAATCCAGATGATTGTTTACAGAATATTCCACAGGTGTATTTTACAGAGGTATTTGAAATTCTATTCTGCACTTCTCTGATGTTATCTCACTGCGTAACTACAGCATCACCACATCTCTCTCTGCATGGACTGAAGGGGGCTGATTGTGCTCTAGGCTCTACAGGAGTTTTAGCAGAACCAGCACTACCTCTGCAAAATCAGAGTAAAATAGATGGCCCAGGCATGCAGGGAGTAATGGTCACGTACTACTTCTCCAGAGAAACAGCTTAATTCCCATCTGGGAAAAGGGGGAGAGGAAAGTGCATGAAAAGGTCTGATTCAGTTTCCATTGTATCCCTCAGAAAAGTTAGAATTGATTTAAATAATTTTAATTTATATTTATATTTACACATCAATTCAATTGCTATTGCAAAGGAAAGAATTAATTTAGGTGGGGCATGTCAGCACAAGGATTGAGAAACATACATTTTGGTTCAGCAGCAAATACTGTGTGGATGCTAAAGTTAAGGACCTACAGTGTGAAGCTGCTGAATAAATTCTCCCAGTAGCTGAACCCTGCCACATGTGATTTATCTAAAGAATATGTTTTTTCTCTCTAACATGTGGGAATTCCCCTGTGTTAAGATGTCAGAATGATCCATTCATACACTGTAGGTGCTGCCGGGGTGCGCGGAGCAATAAAGATTTAAGGTGGAACATTCCTGTAATTGCTACATGCATTCTTGTCTGTGGGCCAGCAACATATCCTAGCTTGAGTTACTGATTTCATCATGTCTGGGTTTTGAAGGAAAATTTGGCTTCTGTATTTGGATATTCCAAACACTCCAGAACAAAATCCTGGATTTCCTCACTCCTGAAAATTTGTAGAGAAGTTTTGACTAGTAGATCCTCTTTATATTCACCTGGTGGTGCATGTTGACTAGATCAGATCTGCCGTTTGAAAGGTAATTAGTGAATAAGTAATTCCTATTTAAGAAACACAAACCAAAACCATTTTCCATAACATCTTAGGAGCAGTTTTGTAGAATTCCTGTTTTAACAGAGGTTTGCATTTCATACCACAGAGTACGGAATGCAGCACATCCACTACCTATAGCAGGAGTAGCACATCTTACCTTCACAGCTTCTTCCAGACTAATCAGATTCCTCATCCCCTAGAAGCTGAGCTCTCTGCAGTAGATTGTCAAAGCAATAGGCTTCTTTTGATGCTGTGGTCAGTCTGGACCCATCGACTTGTTATCCACTACTATTCTCCCTGTGCAGATGCCAAATTTGAAAGCCCCGGATTTTGTTAGTTCAGGTTTATGCTGTACCACAAGCAACCTAAAGGAACTCATTCACAGAAACGGCAAAGCAAATCTCACTGAATAGATCAGCTCCGTGTGATACAAAGTACAGCATTTAATTGTGTGGAAGTCTTTCGCATCTTAATGTGGGCAGTATTATTTCTAGGGCTGTTATGAAAAGAATAAGATTTCCACCAACTGACCAGCTACATGTGAGTTTCTTGACAAGGCACTAAACATTGTGAATCCAATCTCTGTGCTCTCTCTGTAACATTAGAGAGGGTTTTAATGGCTCTAATAGGATCGGAAACCACTCATCGTAATTCTTCAAACAAGCATTTGATTCTCCCAGAAATTAGTTTCCACTGGAAAAATCTTTAGAGTTCATGTTAAAAATATTTGAATGACAGCTTTTATTAATAGAAAAATATATATTTACAGTCAATACTGTTATCTTAGATTTGCAGCTCTTCCTATTTCTTGAGCTCAACTGAAAGTGCGACATTGCTAAAAACAAATAATTCAAGATCTGTGCACATATTCAAGTAAGTTGTAACATGCACAGCCGGGGGTTTGTTCCTGCCATATACAGGATCCCAGTTACAAACAGAACGGGTTTTTTTCCTTTTGCTTAGCAATTATGCTGTAGCATTCTTAGGATGTGTTTACAATCAGTTTAACGCATACATTCTTCTATATTTATGTGGCACTATGTGTTGCCAGGATGGAGAACCACCACAAACACAGTTACAATCATCAGTTATGGGTGTATCTGCAAAGTCAGACTCAAGCTCGCCAAGGAATAGCTCAGGCCAGATTGTGTTTGACTACTTTGACCATTCCTTCTCTTTGAAAGAAAAAAAAACACACAACATTACAAATTGCTAGAGTTTACCCAGTGCTGCACAAGAAAGAGATTGGTAGTGAACATCTATCCATGCTTGATTATACTGCGGAGCTAAAATGAGTATTGGTTCATCACAAAAAGATACAAACTGAGATTAGATAGCTAGAGATACAAAGGCTTCGGACCAGCTGCGTTAAATACGGATGGCTGTAAAACATTCAAAACTCAGCTTTGCATGTGCATGTTGACACGAAAGTGACACTGAGAACACGTGTCCAGGAACACAGAAACACCTACCGGCTTCAAGGACTCAGCCCACTGCAATGGCAAGTGGTCCAGGAATTGCTCGTACAGCCTGCATGAGTTCGGTGAGAAGTTATGTGCACACACACTACGAAACAAACACAAAACCAGACCACAGAGAACAAGAAGCCCTACTCGTAGCTCAGCACATTGTGACTAATAGCTAGTAGATAGCACACAAGTGACTTGTCATGCTCAGTGTATTTAAACTATGAGAGCATTGCCCTCCTGTGTCCAGATAAAGCAGGGCTGCATTGAATGTGTGTGTGACTCTTTGTAAAGGTTCTCCTACAAGCTGCTCAGCAGTAGTGTAGAAACTTTCTTTCCCAATGTAGTGGAAGTACCTCAACTAC